TGCTGGGGAGGGGACAGCCGTTGTGACTGAGTGTCGAGTGGCAGCAGGCAGTGACATTTGTGTCCTCAGGGGGGAAAGGGGAGGGGGCTGGTGGCCAGGTACACCCAGGAGAAAGGAAAGCACCAAGTCGGGACACCCAGGAGTGCCAGCCCCTTTGCCACCCACCTGGATGGTGCTTGGTGAAGCCGTCTTCCTTTGCCCTTGGTTTCTGGGTGGTGGATTGGGCCCGCCTTCTGGGTTCTCAGGGGACTCAAACTCTGTCCATCAGGCACGGGGCGTGATTTGCAAAGTACAAACTGGGCTTCCAATGCCAGGGAACCTTTTCATTGGAGGTGAGTGGGGCCGGCAAAAACCCTGCTCCTGAAAGGGGTCAGCTGGGAGAGGAGGCGGCGCCCTGGAGGTGCTTGTAGGTTCTAAGTGGTCAGGCCAGATCCTTCTCTGCCACCATTTTGGGCAGCACCTCCGGTGCCCCAACCCATAAGGGGCCTGGGAGCCGTGTCAGCAGAAGTCCTAGGCTGAACCACAAGTTAAGATTGAATCCTTGTTCTTGGCAGATGAACAGACAAAAGACTCAGTGCCAGTGTGCTGTGTGCAACACAGACCCGACCCTGAGAAAACACAGAGGGCAGCTACTGGGACGACAGGCCACAGGCCCCAGACACCTCCCGTTGGTCAGGAAATGTCCCCAACTCAGGTTTTTTCTAAAATGTTTCAAAAACATTTCTTTGTGTTTGTAGATGACGGTTTGCACAGCACGTCAGTTTCCCATTCAGCTGTTCACACACACATTGTTCCACTGCTTTGGTGGCAATGCCTGCCACGTGGCTGCCCTCCCCTGCCACCCTGTCCTCTCGGCCTTCATCCCCAGCTTCCCTGCCCCTCCTCCCTCTCAGCTTTGCTTCTGGGCAAATGTTGCCTTTTGGGTCTGTAGGGTTGATTGTTCAGGGTGTCTTAGAGGGATACTCGCAGGGGTTCCTCCAGTCTCTATCAGTCCAGCAAATCTGCAGCTTTAAAACGAAATGCGAATTTTCTTCAATTCTAACTGGGACTTTCTATTATGTCCCTCTTCAGAGCAGTGGGGAATGGTAGCTGGGCACCATCTAGTTCTTCTGGTCTCAGAATACACAAAGCTGTTGTTCATGTGGGCTACTAGCTTAATGTAATGACTTCCTCGAAGAAGCTAACATTGTTAGATGCCCATATCAGGCAGGAATGATGGATACTGTGTGGTCCATCTCTGGCTGCCCGCAGGGGCTCCTCTGAGCTACTCACGGGCCTGGTCCACTGTATGCATGTGTTTGAAGTAAAAGTCACGCCAACAGTAGCAGCCGCTGACATTGTGAAGCACTAAGCATTCAACTACTAGCCAAAAGGCTGATGGTCCTAACCCACCCAGAGGGCCCTCGGAAGACAGGCCTGGCAGCATGCTTGTGAAGATCCTGGCCTTGAAAACCCCACGGAGCCACTCTACTTGGCTGTGGGCTGGAAGTGATTCAATATAACACCCAAGTCCTGCAGCCCATGTGTATGACGTTGGTTAAGTCCCCCGCCACCTAATGCGATTGGCCCTATAATGATTTCCATTTCGATGAAGAAACGGAGGCTTAGACAACTTTAGAAATGAGAGCATTGCGAAAAGCCTGAGACTTCCTTTCTTCCTCTCTGTGTTGCGGCCATGTGTGTTTGTTCAAGGCCTTGGCTGCATCTCTGTGGAAGGCGGAGCTTCCTTCTAACCTGCTCGGTTCCACCCTGGCGGTATCTGGTGCAGCTTGGAACCTCAAGTCTGGCCATGCACTGGAAGCTCCTACCCCAGACCCATAAACTGGAAGATGTTGAAGGTATTTCCAGCACCAGCAGGCCTCCACCCCCCACCCCCCAAGGCGGACATATTTCAATGGAGCTTCCAGATGAAGATGGGCTCAGGAAAGAGGCCTGGCGATCTACTTGTGAAAATCAGCCAATGGGAAAGTCTGTGACTCCCAGCAGAGCCCTGTCCACACGTGCTGGGGCTGGGGGTGCTCCCGGGCCAGACGACACTCAGCACTGTGGCCACAGCAGTGGAGCTGCGGGGGTGACAACCACACGTGATGGGCAACACATGCTTCTGTGGCACACGAGTCCCCCAGTGTCGCAGCACACTGTGCGGCAACAGAACAAGGTGGTGGCCATTGGGATGGGACACGGCAGAAATATGAACAGGGGCGCAGGGGGCTCCCGCGGGTAAGCAGAGGCTGC